CAGGCTGGGGGCCAGGGGCCGGCGGGGAATCCCCTTCGTACCCTGTGTTCAGACAGCAGAGAGGGACGCTGGGTTCCGATCGGGCCTGGGAGGGTGCCTGCCCCTTGGTGCGAGATTACACGGTGGGGAACCCCTGCCCGGAGGCGAGGGGTGTGAGACGGCTGCTCCGGAGGGGTCCGGGTCCGGAGGTGGTTTATAGCTGGTATTAAACCTCATCAGGCCTAATAAACACCCAGAGCTCCGACCCAGTCTTCTCCCTAGTTCTTTTGTTTAGCCCTCGCAGGTAATGTTTCATAGGTGAACTTAAGAGTTGGCTTGTGATGGGCCAGCTTGTGCGAAGTGTGGTCTCTGTGTATCTAGCTTTCTCACTCCACCCACACCCCGCAGAAGCCGGAACTAACTTTGGAATACTGACGCATATATAGACGGTTGGAATGGAATGCCCTTTCAAGAGATCTGGCATTTGCAGCCAGTGAACACCTTGATTGGTATAATACTCTTAAAGATCTTAAGTATTTACCTTTATGCTTCCTCCTTGTAGTCAGATCTGAGAACGCCACTCAGTGCCGTACTTTACTGGCTCGTCTATTAAAAAGCAAACTTCAGATGCACTTAAGAGCCTTATACTGAAATTAACAATTTTGGAGATGGGTACAGAGCATGACTGTTTTTCTTTGTAGGTGGAAATCAACGAGAACTTGCCCGCCAGAAAAACATGAAGAAATCCCAGGAAATTAGCAAGGGAAAAAGAAAAGATGATAACTTGACTGCCTCTCAGAGAAAACAGAGGTCAGTGATGCTAATGAAATTCTCTAGTCACTGAAGTTTTCTTTGTGGAGAATAGAATGCATTTTTAAAAATTATTGGTAGAACTAGGCCTAACCTGCAGAAAGGGGTAACAGTTGAATATTTGTTGTGTGCCAGGCATACTAAAACTATATGGATAGTTATCATCCCAGCCCATGGATGAAGAACTTAAAGTTCTTAAGCTATAATTTGTAAAGAACCTCATGCAACTCTGCCACACCATTAGAACTTCATTTAGCAAAAATACCATCTAATATACTGAATGGGTTATATACAGAACACAAGTGAGAACGTAATCAGCTTTAACGTAATAACTTACAGCCTTTTCTCCCATTATAGAGACTCTGAGATCATGCAACAAAAGCAGAAAGCAGCTAATGAGAAGAAATCTATGCAGACAAGAGAAAAATGATGACTGACAATTTGGAAAACCTGGGTACTACTGCCAACTAGGTGTATTATAAGCTCTATGACCAAGATTTTGTAGAGTGAACAGTCATTACATGTTACAACATACCTTTATAAAAACTATTTTAAACTTTACCTTTCAGTCTGACTTAGTGTAATGTTACAGAACCTTTCTTCAAAGAATAAAACACTAACCATGCATGTGACATGTTGGTGAACATTATTTTTTATCAGCAGTGAGCACATATATAACTAAGTAGAGAGGTAATGTGATCAGATAATAGGAGTTCTTATATAAATCTACAATCTTTGTTTTAAAACTTTGTTAAAGTAGGTTTTTAAAGTCAACTTTATTATATAATAGAATTTAAGATGCATTTATCTAATTTTGCTTTATAATCAACTGGTGTGCTTGAAGAATTTACAATACATAGTACTAATGACCTGGAACTAAACGACCATAAACTAAATGGGTCTCAGTACTAGTAAAAGTTTTGCTTTAGAGCTTTAACATTTTTTAAATAAGTGCCTTTAAAAAATAACAATTTTTTCTAGCAGAATTAGTTTTACAACAAAATTGAGATTTCCCATATGCCCTCTGCCCCTATGTATATCCCCTGCATAGTCTCCCCCATTATGAATATTCCCCCACCAGAGTGGTACATTTATTGTAATTGATGAACCTTCATTAACACAGCATTATCACACAAGTACATAATTTACATTAGGATTCACCTTTTATGATGTAAGAGTGCCTTATTTTTTTCTTTTAATTCTTACCGGGGACATGCTTAGAGAGAGAGGGAGAGAGAGAAACATAGATCAGTTGCCTTCTGTATGTGCCCCAGGGATCAAACCCATAACCCAGGTATGTGTCCTGACTGGGAATCAAACCGATACCTTTCCGTGCACAGGGTGATGCTCAACCAACTGAGCCACTCCAGCTGGACAACAGTGCCAGTTTTTCAGTCTGTTCTGAGACTCTTAAAAAACTTGTGACTTTCCCTGGCCATTGTGCTCAGTGGTTGGAGTGATGGCCCTCACCAAACGGTTGTGGATTCTATCCCCAACCTAAGACAGGTGCGTGCCAGCAGCAACCAATCATTGTATCTCTCTCACATCAATGTTTCTTTCTCTCCCTCCATTCAATTCTGTCTAAAAAGCAATGGAAAAATATCCTCTGGTGAGAATTCACAAAACAAAACAAAAAAAAAACTGGTGACTTCATGATATTTATAAATTTGAAAATAAAGCTAGAGTAACTAAGGTTAGAGACTTTGTTCTTCTCTGAAGTAAATATGATAATTATTGCAAAGAATAAAAATGCCATTGAAGTAGTAAATAAGATAACTTTAAAGTATTATTCAAATACTTGAATTTTCGCATCACACAATTAAACAAATTTTTACTTATCATTTAATATGTCTACCTCTATGCTAATGGCCAGAACGTCAAAATTCTCTTAGTGTCTTAATGAAGGTTCTGATAATCTTGTGATAGGTCACTAACCAATTGTACTACCCATAAATAGGACAGAATTCTAAGTGTCTCGAATACTGAATGAGGCAAACATGAAATTGTTTAGCTTCAGTTTTTATCTTCATATTAACACAGATTTTCAGATAAAGTAAAGCTTTGTTCTATTTATTCAGTTAATTTCAGTCTTCAAAATGTTATATGAGGGAGTCACAAGGAGAAAGGATTATAATAGCTTAGGTTACATTCTAATGAAAAGAATAATGAAGAAGTTTAATTGTACCACAAAGATTCTTTATGGGTCTGATTTCTGTAATTCTATCTCTAGAATTTCTACAGAGTGATAAGCCATGAGTACAGAGAACTTTTTATGCTTTAAGCCATATCCTTTATTTGCTTTCTTTTAATGAATAATTTTCATATTTAAGATAGCCCATGTAGTGGAATAACTTTGGACTTTTTTTTAAATATTTTATTGATTTCTACAGAGAGGAAGGGAGAGGGATAGAGAGCCAGAAACATCAATGAGAGAGAAACATCGATCACCTGCCTCCTGCACACCCCCCACTGGGGAAGTGCCCACAACCAAGGTACATGCCCTTGACTGGAATCGAACCTGGGACCCTTCAGTCCGCAGGCGGACGCTCCATCCACTGAGCCAAACCGGTCAGGGTTGGACTTTTTTAAAAGTTAAACAATTCTTATGAATCTAGGGAAAACTACAGTTCCCAAAGAACATAAATATTAGGATAAAGAAGATCTCTGGGTTATAATTAATCATTGAGACATATCCAAACTGTATGTTATTCATGTTATGGTATTTACTTGAATAAATTAACTGTTAAAATACAGGGTTTGATTTTTACCTTCAACATCACCAGACATTTCTTATAGAAAAGAGGGAGAAAATTAAGGGTAATTGGTGAACTATATTGACACTTTATTATCTTGTAAATCCTCACCAGAGGATATTTTTTTCCATTGATTTTTAGAGAGGGTGGAAGGGAGGGGGAGAGACAGAGAGAGAAACATTGATGTGAGACAGACACATTGATTGGTTTCCTCCTGCATGAAACCCAACCAGGGCCAGGTATCGAGCCTGCAATCTAGGTACCTGCCCTTGGCCTGCAACGGACCCTTTGTCTATAGGCCAACATTCTATCTACTGAGCCAAACCGGGTAGGACTATACTGACACTTTAGTTTCTTTTCATGTAGCATATTTAAAGAAAGTAATTAAAATATCTAAACTTTTAAAGAGGGAAACTGGCTAATTACAAAATATTAAGGGGAAAATACAGGTGAATAATTGGAACAAGTCAGCAAAGTTATTGCTTTGAGTTGTTACCAAAGCAAGATAAAATTATTTAGATGAAGTAGTACCAACTTTACAATGTAATTTGAAAAATACCAAAATCCATGAAACACTCTTATAAACATTAAAAATACTATGTTACATCATCCTTAATAGGAGGTAGTGCATTATAATTAGCAATCTTCGTAAGTCCTTCTGAAAATAAGAGGGAGCAGCTGCTACTGCCCAAGGTGATATACCGAGGTCTGTTTCATCAGTTACTTGATTCCTTTCGAATGCCTTTTCTATTAGTGGCAGTGTAAGAAATTATTACCCACTTATCAAACTAGGCTGTTTTTGAAATTGGGCTAAAAGGAACTATTGATTACTAGCATTATTTTTCTAACTTTAAATATATATATATTGCTCTTTTTCCCCATGTTTTTATAGATGGAAAGAGTTTACCCATTCTGGAAAGTGAAAATATATTTTTTTGTTATATTTTCAAGTTCTACCTTATAAAGAGAGCTTTATAAGTCAGGTGTACTACTGCTGTTTGTTTTGAGTCTATAATCTGTTTCAAAACTACTGAATTTTAAAAAGAATATCCCCCACAATGATATACACTGAGTGGCCAGATTATTATGACCAGCCAGATTATTATGACCACCCCATCAGTACAATGAAGTTAATTAGTTATGCAAATAATAATAATAACAAAACTTGAGAGTATTTGCTTAGGAAGTTTTCAATATTCAGTATTTTTGGAGTGTCAATGAAGTACTGATGGGGTGGTCATAATAATCTGGCTGGTCATAATAATCTGGCCACTCAGTGTATATAAAATTATCACCTTAAATATATGCAATTTTCATTTTTCAATCATACCTCAATAAAACTTGGTGGAGGGTACATATCCCTAAAGTGGAAACCTAATATAAAATTGGCTTTGACAATCAGATGATTTGTACATCTTCCCATCTGTGTAATGGTTTTAACAGGGAGAGCAACTAAGCAGGGAGTATGTCAACTTCTTTAGGTAAATTCCTAATTGCCTTTTGTGATGAAGATCTATAAACACCAAAAATTCAATTAAAATTGAATTATTTTTATGATTGTCATGGTTTTTCATTAGATCAAAACTGAATAAGAACAGTTATTAAACTGCCTCCTACAGCTTCATCTGCTAAAATACTTGCTTTATAATAATCACATATTGAAAGATGTTGTCTTTTCAGATGGCCAAGTCATGAAAATGTCAGTGAGATAAGAAGAATGACTTACAAGTTGCTCAAAGGCACTTCCTTATTAATTCCAGGAATATTTGAAACTTACTACAGGCTTTCCCTTACAACTTTGCTTCTTAAAAACACAACCTTTTACAAAGCGCTCATTATACACATTAAAAGTTCACAGATAGCTTGTTATTGGACCAATTGCCCAGGAAAATTAAGATTTAAAATTTTTTTGCTTTTATTTATTTTTAATTTAAATTCTTTATTGTTGAAAGTATTACATATGTCTTCTTTTCCCCCCAATGACCTCTTCCCCATCCGCTCCCACCCCCCAGCACATGGCCTCACCCCACTACTGTCTGTGTCCATTGGTTATGCTTATATGCAAGCATACAAGTCCCCCAGCCACCCTCCCCACCTTCTGAGGTTTGATGCTGTTCGATGCTTCTATGTTTCTGGATCTAACTTTTTTATTGATTTTTAGAAAGAGGAAGAGAGAGAGGAACATTGATTTGTTCTACTTACTTATGCATTCATTGGTTGAGTCTTGTATGTGCCCTGATCCAGGGTGGAACCTGCAACCTTGGCTCATCAGTACAATGCTCTAACCAGCGGTTCTCAACCTGTGGGTCGCGACCCCTTTGGCGGTCGAACGACCCTTTCACAGGGGTCGCCTAAGACCATCCTGCATATCAGATATTTACATTACGATTCATAACAGTAGCAACATTACAGTTATGAAGTAGCAACGAAAATAATTTTATGGTTGGGTCACAACATGAGGAACTGTATTTAAAGGGCCAGAAGGTTGAGAACCACTGTTTTATTTCATTTTTTTTTTTTTTAACCCTCACCTGAAGATATTTTTCCATTGATTTTTAGGGAGAGTGGAAGAGAGAGGAAAACACACAGAGAGAAACATCAATGTGAGAGAGACACATTGATTGGTTGCCTCCTGCTAGTGCCATGACCAGGGTCCTAGTAGGGGAGAAGCCTGCAACCAAGGTACATGCCCCTGACCAGATCGAACCCAGGATCCTTTGGTCCGCAGGCACTGAGCCAAGCCAGCTAGGGCGACGCTAACACTCTTTAAAGCCCTTTAAGAAATGTATTATCGGTTACCTATGGAGTGATTTTTTTTTTTTTTGGAGGGGGCACCCGGATTTGAACCGGGGACCTCTTGGCCTATGGAGTGATTTTTATTGTATTGGTTTACCCATATTTCCTAAATTACCTGCAATGAACACTTAAAAAAAAATCTCACCTGAGAATTGTTTATTGATTTTAGAGCGAGAGAAACACTGATGTAATAGAAACATCTATGGGGTTGCCTTCCATACGCGCCCTTCTGGGGGTAATCAACCCCCAAGCTCTGTGCCCTCCCATTCAGCAACCTTTTGGTGTATGGGAGGCTGCTCCAACCAGCTGAGCTACTCCAGCCACTGCAATGAGTACCATTCTCAAAGAAAAGGTACTGTTCAAAACAAAAATACCCTGGTAGAACCTACGAAGATACCAAAAGGTGAAATCGAAGAATTGAGAGAATACAGAGAGGAAAAACAAACATGGCAGATAGAGACCGCTGGGAGATAGGGCGCGGAAGGCTCCAGGCCGCCGGCTGCTTCCGGGCCACCGTACTCTTCCGCTCCCAGAGGGCCCTGCGGCGGAAATGGTCATTCTCCGAGGCAAGCAGCCCACGCCGCGCACCGGTGGGATCCTCGCCATGGCGATGGGGGGCGGAGGTGGCGGCGGCGTCCCGGAGCAGGAGGACTCGGTGCTGTTCCGGCGCGGCGCCGGCCAGGTGAGGGCGCGGCCGGCTCTGCCTCCCGCAGGCGCCCGTGCGGGCTCCTCGCGCCCATCGCCGGCCCCTGCGCTGCGTCCCCAGCCGCGGGGCAGAACCTGGCCAGTCCGTTTACTGCAGGACGGTGGTCCGCCTAGGTCGTTTCTGCAGATTTTCCCTCAGCAGCCAGCTCCTCCCCTGCGCAGCTTGGGCGCCTCGATGGCTTTGAGCCGAGGCCCTCCCGCAACTTACTCGTACTTTGGTTTGTCCGTTCCGACTGGGGGCTGTGAGCGGAGCGGGCCGGGCGAGGCGGGGGACCCGATGGGAGTCTATTAAAACGATCCAGACTCAGATCAGGGTGTCGGCGGAGGAAAACAGACTGCTTGGACTGTAGGTATATTTTGGGACCAGAGGCAACAGGTGTCGCGTGCGGATCTAGTCGTGGAGATTTGAGAGAGGAAAGTCAAGGCTAACTTCAAGATTGTCCTGAAAAGATGAAGTTAGTCGCCTTTACGGATAAGCTGAGATGGGGAAGACTGAAAGTAGAGCAGGTGTATACAGGTGAAGGTCAGAAATTCATTTTGAGTGAAAGAGTGGCGATGAAATCTGGTTGAGGGTGAGTCCAGGCGTGGGAGAAGAGAAATTCAAGGCAACGTTTGTGAACAAAGAGTTGAGTTTTATTGTAAATAGAAAGTATAGAAATTGGCCAATAGATGGAGGGGGAAATAGGATAAAGATGATTATTAATTTTTTATGTTGTGTTGTGTTTTGTTTTTAAGATGGGAGAAGCAGATTTCAGTATGTTTGTGGGCTGATAGGAAAGATCCGGTAAGGATGGAAACATTGAGGGTGCAGGAGAGAACCGCTGAAGTAGTGCTTCAGAGTAGGAAAGAGGGGATGGATTTGGCCTCTGCTGGGAACATTGACAGTTAACGTGGTGACAGTTATATGGGTACAGATCTGGAACTTTTCTTTGGGTCGTTGCTGTTCTGTCAGTAAAAGAAGTCAGCCAGGAGTGAGGACAGAGCAGATGCTGGGGGTTTGAGCGGGAGAAGGTGGGAAGTAGGCCTCTAGGAGAGTGGATGAGTGTTGGAGTAAGGAAATGTCATGGAAATGTTCCGAGGCAACATTAAAGGTCTACTTGAGATTAGCGATCGTGAATTTAAAGACTAGACGGCATGACTGTGTTTTTCCCCAGCTCATTCACTTCAAGTCTGTGAGGGCAGGCACAGAGTGAACTGGTGGTTGAAGTGAATAGGGTTGTGCAGCCACAACTCGTTCTATTGCACTTCACTTCGTTGGCTTCACAGGTATGTGAGTTCTACAGACTGAAGGCAAGACCCTCCTCCTACAAGTGTTGCAGCTTGTCTTATTGCAATGCTCACTTTATTAGGGTGGTCTGGAACCAGACCCACCATATCTCTGAGGTATGCCTATAGTTGATACCAAGTGAGCACGAGGAAGTAAGAGAGAGGGGTACGAGGGAATTACCTTAATGGTTGACTATGAAATTTAAGCTAAGAAAGGATGTGAGGATATTAGGACAGTGAGAGGTAGTTTGAAAAGTGAGAGGATCAGTGTTTTGCTATTCCCAGTGAAGTGGAATGATTGTCAACTATTAGAAGGAATAAGCTGTGTAGATCCTGGAAGGTGGTGGTTGGAGAATAGGATTTATGGAGAGGTTGTAGTTTCTGGTTATAATATAACTAGAGGCCCGATGCACGAAATTCGTGCAAGAGTAGGCCTTCCTTCCCCCGGCTGCCGGCTTCCCTCCGGACCTGGGCTTCATCCAGAAGGTCATCCTACTGGTGGTGACTGAGAAACAAATATAAAGGCAGCCCTAGTGGTCTGTTTTGGTTGCTGTGTAACAAATTACTCAAAACTTAGTAGCTTGAAAATAATCATTTTATTATTTCTCATAGTTTCTGTGGGTTAGGAATTTGTGAAGGCCTTGCTGGGTATTTCCCCTTGAGAACTTTCATATGGTTGCATCCACGGAGTGGCTGGAGCTACAATAGCTGAGTCCCTGCAGCTAGGGACTGGCTGGCCATATCTTTTCTTATAGCCTCCGTCCGGGCTTCTATATGTGATCTCGGTATTGGACTGGTTTGAATTTCCTTATGCCCCTTTATAGTTCTCTATCATCTCTCATCTCCTGTCCCCAGACAAATGCTGATCCACTTTCTGTAACCATAGGTTAGCTTGCATTTTCTAATGTTTATTCTATGTTTATTCATTTACTGTTCATGAGTATTGGGTTGTTCTCAGTTTGGGGCTGTTACAAATAGACCTGCCATGACTACTAGCTTAGAAAACTTATGTGAACATGTGCTTTCATTTCTCTTGGGTAAATACCTGGGTCATTATTTTAACTCCAAGAAACTGTCAAACTTTTCATAGTGGTTGTACATTTCAACTAGCAATGTATGAACGTGTCATTTGCTTCACCTCATTGCTAACACTTGGTATGGTCAGCCTTGTGCGAATTGTAAACATTCTAATAGATGTGTGGTAGCATCTTGTGGTTTTAATTAGCATTCTCTGATGACTGATGATGTTGATCATCATTTTATGTGTTTATTTGCCATCTATATATCTTATTTGGTAAAGTGTCTGTTCAGATGTTTTGCTCATTTTTGAATTGGTTTGTTTGCTCTGCTTTCTTTTTTAAATATAATTGATTTTTTTTTTTTTTTTTACAGAGAGGAAGGGAGAGGGATAGAGAGGTAGAAACATCGATGAGAGAGAAACATCAATCAACTGCCTCCTGCACACTTCCTACTGGGGATGTGCCCGCAACCAAGGTACATGCCCTTGACCGGAACTGAACCTGGGACCTTTCAGTCTGCAGGCCGATGCTCTATCCACTGAGCTAAACTGGTTAGGGCTGTTTGCTTTGCTTTGTTGAGGTTTGAGGGTTCTTCATATATGCTATATATAAAACCTTTATCAGATAGGTAATTTGCAAATGTTTTATCCCAGTTTGTGGATTGGTTTTTCAGACTCTTAACGGTTTTTTTAGCCCTGGCTGGTTTGGCTCATTGGATAGAGCTTCTGGCCTTCAATTTCCTCTCAGTTATGGGTTGCTGCCCCAGGGTTGGGGTTTATCGTGAGGTAAACCTACCTGCTTTGATATTGTTGTTGTTTTTTCTCATTTGCCCAATGTGTAGGAGTTGCTCAACTAATTTTTAGATTTTTTCAGAGGGAATTATTTCAGACAACTGTAAATTTATTGTGTTGGTGGGAGGAGGTGAGTTCAGAATCTTCTGTATCTTCATCTTGAAATGAGAAAATCCATTTCTTTCCATTTAAAACATTGTTTGTACTTCACACTTAAGTATTTTATTATATTTGTTTTATATTCTTTTTTGTTTTGTGTTTTAAATCCCTGATTAGAATGTCTGTCTTGGGAGCAGGTAGCATGATTTCATATACTTCTCAATGATGAGTGCTTAGTAGCTAGTGGGTGCTCAAAAACATTTTTTAATTGAATTAAGTTTAAGTTCTACTAAGTATTCATTAAATTTAAATTCAAAAATAGAAATAAGTTTTAGGTCTTTTCCAGATTACTTAATATCATATTTTTTCCCACTAAAACAAGGCCCTTTATCTTATACTACTTTGTTGGCCAAACTACACCCTTTATCTGCTCTTAGAAAAGATTGAAATGTGAGTTATTCTTGAACAGATCCACTTGTGGTTGGTAGATAGTGGTTAAATTGTAGAGCATTCACTTCATGGCACACCTCTTAGAACATTTACATATGTTTCGCTTTGGGGATAATGCTGCAAAATCTCTAATCAGGTAGGTTTCTTGTGGTTATAGTTAGGATTTAAAGTACCCATTTTTTAGTTTAATTTTGTTTGGATTAGATGGCTCTTGGCATACTTTTTTTATGAAACCTATCCAAACATGAATTGTTTTTATTCTTTATCCTTCCTAGAGTGATGATTCTGACATTTGGGATGATACAGCACTGATAAAAGCATACGATAAAGCTGTGGCTTCATTTAAGGTATGAAATGTTTACATTTTTGCTTAGGTCCTCATGTTAGTCACTTGGGAAAATTAATTGATAACATTTACAGTAAAGTATTAAAGTATGTATTATTTAGTTCTAATTTTGAAGATTAAAAGATAACATTGGTTAATTAAATTAGATATTTTCCTTTAGAAGTTGGTAGGTAGCCTGTCTATATGTGATCCTTTTAAGAGGAGATTTAACTGGAATTTTAAACATTTGTTGCTTTTAATGTGTTTACATTGCATAAACCAATGGAAGTTATCTAATTCAGATTACTGGAAGGATAGTCTGAATTTTAATTTTTAAACATTTAACAAGTCTTTATTGAAATAATGGTGATAAATAGCAATACTGCAGTAATTAACACTTGTAGAGTGTATACAGTATTTTAGGCACTTTTCTAACTGCTTTACATATGTTAAATTAACATAATCTCCCCCAAATCCAATTAGTTGGGTTTCAAGTCAGGTTTTCCTGATGGTTGGAATGTACAGTTCTTTGGGGAGAGTAGTCTGTTTTGTGGCCCACACAAGACATTTACACAGTTGTCCAACATCATCACTTGACTCACAGTCTCAGGTATTTGGTCTTATTGAGCACCATATGTGAGCCCTCTTAGTTCAGGCACAGCATAGGCTCATACAGAACACCAAGAATAGAGTCCGCTTCCTTCATGTAGTCATTCCTGTACCATAAGGTAGAAAGATCAAACCTGTGTGTCGTCCTTGAAGCTGAATTCTAAATTTGTCAATAGCATGTTTTCCAGTATGCACTTACACTAGAAGTACACTAACTTAGGGTTACCATGACAGTTCTGTAAAGTGCAGATTAAAATGGGGCTCAAAGCCGACATCAGCTGGGGTGTCTCACTTGGGAGGTGAGGGATCTACTTTCACAATGGTTCATTCACATGGTTAGTGTTGCCTTCTGCTAAGGGCTCAGCCAGGGCAGTGTGCTGGGGGCCTCTGTTCTTCTCTAAGCAAGTTTCTTCGCTGACAAAGGGGTCTTTAGAGCTGTTTATCAGATATATGATGCCTTTGAGAGCAGTTTCTATAGCATGTGAGATGGTGGAAATAGGAAGTAGAGGCTGTCTGAGGTTTATAATAACTGAATCGTGACTTTTTCTGTATCATTTTGTAACATGCACATTTTTATGCTTATTTTCATAGCACGCTCTAAAGAATGGTGACATTTCTGAAGCTTCAAATAAACCAAAAGGCACCCCTAAAAGAAAACCTGCTAAGAAGAATAAAAGCCAAAAAAAGAACACCACAACTCCCTTGAAGCAGGTTATTTTTAAAATATTGAGATTTAACTTCAAAGATTTTCTTCATACCATTCTTATTAAATAGTGTAAAATACCTTTAACTTAAGTGATTAGTTCAGTGTTTTCCATTGGCATGGAATTATAACATTTCTAAAACTATTAAACTTTCTATTGTTTAGGAACATGCCTGTCAATAAAGGTATAAGGACTTAGGTGGGACTGATTAATACTAAATTCAGTACAATGTTCACTTTATATGGGAAGGAAAGGGAGGAAGGCAGTGCTATTTGAGAGCAGTACCTGAGGGCCTGGAACTGAATTGGCAGTGTTTTACTTTTTAAACTGAGAGGTGGCCAGCCTTTTTTCCCCTTCAAAAATCCTAAACCTATTAATACTCAGAAACCTAAAATTCTAGATAGAGTTTTTTCAGGTTAAAAAACTTGCCCATGATTATAAAAATGGCAGAATTTAAATTATATGACAGGATTATATTATATTTATATTGGAATTCACATTTATGTGTTTTGGGCTCTAAGTCTTTTTCACTGTTTCATTCTGCCTTCCAGATTAGTTAACTGGATACTACCCCCATCCCCCATCCAACCCCACCAAAACAAGAAAATAGTTTACCCTCTTTGAAAGAAATGTGTTTATGTGTATGTGTGTCTTTTTTTGTTTTTGTAGTGGAAAGTTGGTGACAAATGTTCAGCCATTTGGTCAGAAGATGGCTGCATTTACCCAGCTACCATTGCTTCAGTTGATTTTAAGAGAGAAACCTGTGTTGTGGTTTACACTGGATATGGAAATAGAGAGCAGCAAAATCTGTCTGATCTACTTTCCCCGACGTCTGATGTAGCTAATAATATAGAACAGAATACTCAGGAGGTAAGGATACAAAAAATAAAGTTCTTGAAAGTAGAGACGAGATGAGAAACTATGTGATATAACAACTTGTCAGTTTGATCCACTGAGGCATTAAATTTTTCTTAATGAAACCTATATAACAACAATACATATATTTTTTCTTTTTAAAGAATGAAAATGAAAGTCAAATTTCAACAGATGAAAGTGAGAACTCCTCCAGGTCTCGTGAAAATAAACCAAATAACATCAAGTCAAGAGCTGCTCCATGGAACTATTTTCTCCCTCCACCACCCCCCATGCCAAGATCAGGACTGGGACCAGGAAAGGTAATTTTTACATAGAAAAGGTTTCTCAGAAAATCTATACTAATAAAAGGGTAATACACTAATTAGACCAGACATCCTTCTGGACAGAGCCATGGTGGCAGGGCCGAGGCAGAGGCAGTTAGGGGGATCAGGCTGCCAAGCAGGCAAGCGGTTAGGGATCAGGCTGCCAAGCAGGCAAGCCGTTAGGAGCCAGCAGTCCCGGATTGCGAGAGGGATGTCGGACTGCCAGTTTAGCAGGGATCAGTCCTAAACCGGCAGTTGGACATGCCCCGAAGGGTCCCGGATTGGAGAGGGTGTAGGCCAGGTTGAGGAACCCCCGCCCCATACACGAATTTCGTGAACCGGGCCTCTAGTAGTTAATATTGAAACATTCAACACATTTTAAACCTTCCATTAGGAGCATTGTAGACTTTCCCATGAAACTTGTGGCTTTCTGTAGGTATTATAAATACACACTTGAGATATCTTCAGAGAGGAAATATGATAGTAATGCAGAATACTTTATAATGAAAAGCTTTTCCAACTACTTTTATGGAATATTAGGTATTAGACTAATAATGTAGTGAACTTAAGTTAGAAAGTATATTTTATCAGCTGACTATCCTCATAGTTCCCCAAGTCACTTGGGTAAAATATGTAAAAATTGGAAGAGAATACAGTATTTACATCTAATACAGGTAAAATCCTAAGGAGCTCCCAAACTGTTATAGAGTAAATATTGTTTTCCTTAATGCTTCTTTTGGTTATAAGTAACAAATAAACTTTAAAAAAGATTTATATTTTAGGTTATATTGTGGAACCCAAGTATGTCCCTTTTTGTTTTGTATAAAGCAATGATTTCCTTGGAGGTTATGGTATTGAGGAAATAATAAATTTTTAAAATAAAGATATCAAGCATGATTTATTAAAACGTTTCCTTAACATTTTCTTCAAGATCTCTCTCTTTTTTTTAATCCTCACCTAAGACATGAGAATGTCTTTTCCATTGATTTCTAGAAAGAATGGAAAGGAGCGGTGAGCGGGGGGTTGGGGGCGGGGGGAGAGACATATTGATGCGTGAGAGAGACGTTGATGCGAGAGAGACACATCTGCAACAGGTACATGCTCTTGACCAGGAATCAAACCTGAGATCCTCTGGCGCTTGGGCTGATGCTGTAACTACTGAACTAGGGTTGCAAGGCTTTTCTTGAGATTTACATTATATTACAGTTTCTAGAATGATCAAATCAATTTATGTGTGTGTCTGTATATATGTATGTGTATCTCATACTTTGGTCTTAGGGGCCTGATTTTTTTTGTTAAGTGAGAGTTTACTAATTTTTACAATATATGCTCTAAATTAGCATATGTAACTACTAAAAGGACATCAATAAAAAGATTATACAATCTAGATAATGAAATTATGGAATATATTGTTTTATGATTGAAATATCTTGCTAAAAACACTATCTCTTGATTTATAAGGTAATTAAAATATTTCCTTACTTTGATTTTACTCCCTGAATCTCTATAGAAAGGAAATGAGAAAAATCTAGATTAATGAGTCTATTTGATCTCAGCATTTGGTACATGCAATTCTATTTAATCTTTTTTATTTTTTATTTAAATTCTTTTGACATTAAATATTTTTTCCTCTTTTCATATTGAAGTTGGTAAATTAATCTTCCTTTGAAATACTTTTGCAGCCAGGTCTAAAATTTAATGGCCCACCACCACCACCACCACCACCTCCACCTCCACCACCTCCCTTCCTATCATGCTGGCTGCCTCCGTTTCCTTCTGGACCACCAGTAAGTACAAAACAATTCAGACAATTTAAAACAATTTGCTTTTATACATAGGTTCTAATGGGTAAAAATTTGAACCAAACCTCGGGGGTTTTTTGTTTTGTTTTTATCCTCACCCAAGGATATATTTAATGATTTTGAGAGAAAGTGAGAGAGACAGAGAGAAACATAGATGTGAGAGAGAAACATTGATTGGTTGTCTCTCATATGCCCTCGGACCAGGGATCAAACCTGAAACCTAGAAATTAAGTGTGCAGCCTTTTTACAAAAACATTTTTACTGATTTCAGAGAGGAAGGGCGAGGTAAATAGAGATAGAAACATCAATGATGAGAGAGAATCGATTGGCTGCCTCCTGCATGCCCCCTATTGGGGATTGAGCCCGCAACCTAGCCATGTGCCCTTGACTGGAATCAAACCCAGGACCCTTCAGTCTGCAGGCCAATGTTCTATCCACCGAGCCAAACAGCTAGGGCAAGTCTGCAACCTTTTTTTTTTTTTCCAGTGTATGGGACGATGTTCCAACCAACAGAGTCACCTGGCCAGGATGGTATTTTTTGTGTTTTTTGTGGGGTTTTTGTTTTTAATTTTTAATGACTTTCTCTACCAGACTCATTCATTCCTCTTATTGCCCTAGCTCATAGTCCTATATTGCCTGCATCCTTCCTGGTAGAAATTGTATCCCTTATTCTATAGGGAGGTAGTTTGTATTTGAAAGAATTTAAGTATACTGCATACAGGGATTTAGGTGTTGCCTTTCCAGGTGTGTTTGGATGTTAGCTTGTGATCAAGTAGACTATTTGGATATCTACTGGTAGACTTTTAGATAACAGTAACCTAGATACAAAGATACTTTTTGGCCAACTGTGTGTGTTGGGGTCGGGGCAGTGCAGATGTTCACCCAACACCTTTATTTGAAATACCGTTAGGGTGATTTTTAAGGAAAACCATCAAAGTATTTATGCTTGGTCTTTTACCCATAGTTTCATAAAGGAACAGAAAAATATATCTGATCAAATCAAGATGTTTAAACATTTTATGTGACCTATTTTTTTGTTGTTGTTCAATTTAATTTTGTTGTTGTTACTGGTTGACTTTCTTCAAATGTCAGATTAAAAATAATTTTAATAGATAAGATGGAATTAAGGGAAAGACACAGTTAACATCCAGCATTGTCTCTATAAAATGGATGTCCAGACTTCACATTTTTGTTTACTGACTTTAAAGTATATTTTTCTTCTTTTCCAGATAATTCCCCCACCTCCTCCCATATGTCCAGATTCTCTTGACGATGCTGATGCTTTGGGAAGTATGTTAATCTCTTGGTACATGAGTGGCTATCACACTGGTTATTATATGGTAAGTGATCATTCAACATCTTTTCCTGACACTTTGTGGTTGTGACTTTGTTGTGTTTGTGACTAAAAAGGTGATTTGTTACATTAGCCAGATCCTAAGGGTTTAAAACTACCTTAATGTTGAAAAAATACAACTATTTGCCTAAGGCTTAAATTATTCTTCTATTGTCCCCATTTAATGTAATTATAGTGCAATTAAAAATCTTCCATGTGCAGCCGAAGCCGGTTTGGCTCAGTGGATAGAGCGTCGGCCTGCGGACTGAAAGGTCCCAGGTTCGATTCCGGTCAAGGGCATGTGCCTGGGTTGCGGGCACATCCCCAGTGGGGAGTGTGCAGGAGGCAGCTAATCGATGTTTCTCTCTCATCGATGTTTTTAACTCTCTATCTCTCTCCCTTCCTCTCTGTAAAAAAATCAATAAAATACATATTAAAAAAAAATCTTCCATGTGCCCAGCCATTGTTGCTCAGTGGTTGAGTATTGACCTTTGAACCAGGAGGTCACAGTTCAATTCCCAGTCAGAGCACATGCCTGGGACATGCAGCGATCAATGATTCTCTGTCATCATTGATGTTTCTACTCTCTCTCTTCCTCTCTGAAATCAATTAAAAATATATTTAAATACATATAT